CGGCTCTCACCCGCCCCTGGCATAAACTGGTAGGCGCTCTCAGCCTCGCGGTAAGCCTCGTGCGGCAGAAGCTCCTCCGGCACCTGCTGGAACCCGGGGCTGCCTTCGCCGGGAACCTCGGTGCCCTCCGCCATCTCCCCGCCCGCCCCCAGCTCCCTCATCAGCCGTAGGTCGTTGTAGTACTCTACCGGCGGTGGTCTTTCGCCTTGTCGCTGTTGCTGTTGCTGCTGCTGCGCTTGGCCGTCAACGCCGCGGGCATTCTCGTACTCTTCCCGCGCTACTGCCTCCGCTTCTGCGCGGGCCATGGCCCCGTGGGACTCCCCCATCCCATCCTACATCCCATGGCGAGTCGCGTAAGGTACGGTACACAACAAAAGAAAGGCAGGACGCGGTTAGCTGGCGGTCCCGTGGGAGTCTCCCATTTCCATCCTACACACCTTGGATATTCAATACTATTTCAATATGATGGTGCACACCAAAACAAGGGAAGGGCGCAATTGGGGGGACGCGCGACGAAACACCGCACCGTGACCTTGGGGCGCAAAAAACGGAAAACGCCAAGAGGTTGACCAGGGTTTTGCGGGTTCGGTCGCGCCGGTCGGCCTCCCCGGCGTGCGAAACGAAACGCGGAATCGGTCATCATGGCAACGACATTTATTCAGCACTGCTGCCGTCGCCGCCTGTTCCCTCAGACTTCAGTCGTCCCCGCTTTTACGAACACTCGTCCTCAATCGACTCCCCACTTTACGGGCACCAAAAGATCTCACAAGCGGGGTCGACTACTGCTGCACTCTTGACAAAAGTTTCCCACCCTTCGTCGGACGACATGCATGCTCACCATGACGACGATGAGCCCAGAATCGAAGGGCGACAGGGCCGCCGCGCTCCAGGCGTGGGCCAGGTGGTGCGAGAGCTCCGCGTGGGCGGCGCCCGGGACGAGGTTTTCCTCTGAGGCGTAGCTGGCCGGGTAGGTGCCCTGGGCAACCGCCCATGGTACCCTCTCCTCGAAAGGGGCGACGCGGTGGTGGTGGTTGTTGGACACGACCAGGCGGACGTCTTCGAGGCTGCCCCCCACGGAGCGGAGGGCGTGGGAAACGAGTTCGCCCGTGTCGCCGCCGTCGTGCTTGACGCGCGTCAGGCGCTCCTTCTCGCCGGCGAAGAGGCAGGTGCCATCCCTACGATGGGCGCGGGGGGTGGAGTAGGGTTGTCTTTGCTACATACATAGCACCATCTCGGGGGGCGGGGGTAGCATAATGTTGCACGCGGTGTACATCGCCGCCGCCGCCGACATGGATACACAGCGGTTTTACTGTAGTTGTTGCCCAAGATTTCTAACGTACCAGCCGTGGATGCATCAAGCGGGGCACCGATGGTTGGAAAGATGTCGTCGAGACGTTGCTTGACATTTTTCGAAACACTGAAATCGATTTGAGAAACTGACTCCTTGAAAGTCTATATTGCACTGAATTGATTACCGCATTCATGGTTTGCGTTCCGTCGACGCATTCCACAGGCGGGGAGTGGAGTAGGGTTGTCTTTGCTACATACATAGCACCATCTCGGGGGGCGGGGGTAGCATAATGTTGCACGCGGTGTACATTGCCGCCGCCGCCGACATGGATACACAGCGGTAATACTGTAGTTGTTGCCCAAGATTTCTAACGCACCAGCCGTGGATGCATCAAGCGGGGCACATTTTTCGATACACTGAAATCGATTTAAGAAACTGACTTCTTGAGAGTCTATATTGCATTGAATTGATTACAGCATTCATGGTTTGCGTTCCGTCGATGCATTCCACAGGCATCTGCTCTCTGTGCTGCTGCCACTGACCCTCTGCCCCACACGAGCGTTTTCCAAGGGCCTATGCGGCAACTGCAATCTGACACAGCACAGAGCATTGACGTGATGAACATCAAGAGACCGATTCAAACTTTGTCGGCGTTGCTGCTCTCTGGACACATGCACAACCCACCGGTAGGAGAGAATGCACACGGAGCTGTCGTGGGAGTACTTGTTCAGTCCGACCACCAGGCCATCAGAGTCGGATGCGAAGACGGGCGGCGAGCTCGAGTCGATGGACAGTCGTAGCTCGGAGGAGGGTGCGGTGTGCTTGCTGCGAGTAGGGCGGAAAGTCTGGGGCACTAGGAATCCGTTTGCTAGGGCGAGAGATGAGCACACCCAGGCAAAGCGCATCTTCTCTCACTCAGCTTCGCGAGTAATGCACGTGAGTGCAGCAGACAGCCCACTAAAAGGTGTCCAGAGCTTGGTGGCTGCCGAGCTGTCGAGTGCATCATGTTTTAGGCCGTAGGCTGCAGGCTGCAGATGGAGTAGATGCGGCGCAATTACGATCGACCAATCACAGCCACAGACGAGCGCATTCACCCGCGCCTGGATCCTCCACTCGGTGAAAAGACTCTACCACATCACCACATCCCGTTCGACTACTGTGGGTATATCTCGAATGGGTAGTCTTTCTGTGTGTGTATTTGTTTTTCCTAATACTCGAAGGTCTCTCTTGATTGTGCGCATTATGTAGCCTACATAGTGAGAAAATTCCCGAATACGAAGCGCATGCACAGCAAATGTGACGTCGTTCCTGCTGCGAGGTTCGCATATTTGTCGAAGGCATGTACAATGCGATCGTGGCGACCGATATGCATGCTGATGATACTCCCTGGTTTTCAGAGGGTCTTGCATCGCACCAACCATCCAGACTACAGCAGTACAACAGCCTAGCTCGTGTTTCCTCATTGACAGTCTAGACCCGCACTTGGCGTAGCGATGGTATGTCAACACCGCATATCGCGCGCCACACCATCAGGAGGGGGGAATATGGTTGCATGGTCCCCTGCCGTGCTCTTCCCCTACGGAGCTCTGTCCTCGAGACAAAAAATGGGGCCGTGTCAGAATACTCCTACCACAAAATACCACCTCAGGAGTCAGCCACGTTCTTACCGCTGTCCCTACATCCAAGTGGTAGACAACTAATACAACTCCATCAAGAGAGCTTGAGACTCTTCAATGAAAGGAGTGATGTGTCGGGCACTTCACAAGCAGCAGTTGATTCCACACATCAATTCTTTGCAGCGACCTTCATCGGATCGACCAAAGAACAGAAGAAGAGCTTCACACGGTTAGGATTTTGAAACAGTCAAGAGAGATTACAACTGGCGTGCAATCAGCGCACGTTCGGTCGATTCGAGCTGTGACAACAGAGAGGAGGGCGTACACGCATGCTGTCGAAAAAAGCAAATATGTTCCGTACACGAAACAGCGCCAACCACCGGCAGCACCAGCAGCAGTCAGCTTTTGTATAATGTAGAGCAGTCGAGCGACAAACGTCGCGTGGAACTTCCTCGCTCTCCCTCCCCCGCTTTAAAGTCCAAGCCGTTACCAGTCGCCGACAAGATTCCGTCGGCAACAACAACAGGACACCACCCAACCGCCCCTGTACCTCAATCACCATCACCACCGTTCCTACCACCGCCGCCATCGTCGCCACCGCTGGCGAGGAAAAAAAAAAACGCAGGCGGAACACCCGTGTAGGCGCTGCGCGCGCTATACTACACAGTACAAGACCGATCGCCCTGCGTAAGGCCGGTGTATTCGCTCGACACAAACAGAGCTTTCGAGATTGTCTCATACTAGTCCGGATAGCGCCGTGTGCCCGGCAAAAGGCCGGCCGAAACCCTTGTCGCTACAAGTATGCGGCAAATACACAGGCACCACTCCCACTATTACACTGCCAACATCGGGCTGTGCTGATCCTCCACTTTATCAAAACGCAGCACGTTTCCAAAACGCGAGACGTTGCAAACAAACATGCCTCCTTCGCATCATTGCAACGCCCGCATTGCTTCCAGCGGTCGGCGGTCAGGAGCTACCCACCTGGGTAAGCAAAGCAGGGAACAAGCAAGAGCGAAAAAAAAGAGGTGACGACGTGTGGTGTAGAAGCGGAGAGAATGCGAACGTGTGCATGAAACAAAGGGGCGGGGAACGAATCACTTCAAGGCACGGCAGTGGGGCTGGATTGTCGGACACGCGTGTACAGGACTGCACACGAACGACACTCCAGCTGAGTCACGTGTTAGACAACGTCGTCGTCCCTGGATATCCAGGAGCGACGTGTCAAACAAGATCATCCTTCGAGCGCAAGGATCCCCAACAGCAAACCAGAACCAAGCCCATCTTGGTGCAATCTCTCTCCATCGCCGCCCGAACAGGGCGAGGTTTACCAATCCAAAACCACGCCACACCAGACCGCACGACGTACTACCTTCCGCCCTCTCACCGCTGGCGACGCAATTCCACCACCACACTTGAGCACATAAACTTCGCGAACTTCCAAACAGCACGCACATCCCACACAGCAGTCCTCTCGCTCTCTCTCTCTCTCTCTCTCTCTCTCTCTGGTACCACGAAT